GGCTGAACCTGCAATGCCTGCACCTGAGACATTGAGAGAGAATCAGAAGATGCTGATGACAATGTTGATAATGAGAGTGATGATGATGATGATGATACTTTAAGGTACTAACTTGCTGTGCAAGCTCTGCATCATTCAAGATTTCTCTCTCTTTCACCAGGAACCAGTTGATAATAGTAGCAAGAGTATAGGGCTCCTCTTGATACTTCTGCAAACAAGCAAGTGTAACCCATTATCCCATAGCTGTCAATGATTAACACTTTATTTCTGTAAATGAGAACATATCAATAACTAGAACTATAAATAGATTTTTTACCAGCTAATGATGAACAATAAAAATGGAATTATGTTCACAGCACACATAGAAATAAAAAGAACCTTATCATCAGTTGGCGTGGACGGTAACACAGTTAAGGTTATACTTATTGTGCCTGGTGTAAACAGGCCTTTAATCTACCAGTATTGTTTTTGTTTAGCATGTTCAGTATGTTTAGATCCTCAGAAATCCAAAGAGGGCATCGGGCATTATGGTTTTGGCAACAGAAGTACACTTACCTGAAAGTTTTGTTTGTAGCGTCTGAAATTACGCTGCAGAAGGAAACTATCTTTCTCTTGCGCAAAACGACTGAACTGGTTGTCCAGATTCTCCAAAAGCACCTGAAACAGGAACGCGGCTTGGGAGGAGTCCCGCGAAGCACGTTCCCTGTAACACACAGACTTGTTGATACTCCTTGATGCAGCTGTGTGCTTATCTTCATCCATGGTTATTAATATATTTTGGAATAGAGAACTATAACAATCAATCCACAGGTTTTACTTGTTGTTCACACAGGTACTGCACTCACCAGTCCTGGCCCTCGATCCAATGTGCCAAGTAATGTCTCACTTCCATTGGGAACTCATCTCTGTTGTACAGATCAAAAGCCCTCTGTGAATACACTGTATCCAGCTGCTGCAATCGCTCCCACTGTGTCATTCTACAAAATAAAATAAAAAAACATTTCATATTTGTCGAAAGATCAAGGACTGGTCAGGACTAGGACTGTCCTGCCACTGCTTTGCAAGTCAGATGTCCGAGCTTAAGCCCTGTTCCAGTGGTTATTTTCAAAAACAAGCCAAGGAGAGAAATCCTGGAGCTGTTTGGAAGTTGAAGCACACAATAATAATTTATGGCGTGACTTTTCAACATGCCATTTTTTATTGTAAGGGCAAAAGGGTTGTCATATTGAACATTTTTTGGTCAGTAAGAATTGTTCTTGTATGAAAAAGCACTGTAGAGATTCTTCAAAAAAAAAAATGTATTTAGACCATAACCCATTTATAATGTTTCAGAAGACTCCTATTTTTATCTTTTTTTTACTTTTTATTCATCAAAGAATCATTTTTAAAAAAATCACACTTTCCACAATAATATTAAGCAATATTTTTAATTGAAATCATATTTCACAATTTTACTGTTTGACTGTATTTTGATTAAAAAATGCAGTCTTGGTGAGCAAAAGCATTTAAAAAAACGTAACAACCCAATCTTTTAAAATAGTGCACATCAAATTTCCAAAACCTATAACTGTTCCATAGTTGTGGATACATCATGATATTTTTCCCCTTATAAAGGATTGTCAAAGTCAGCCATTTTGACCAGAAATGTTTCTAAATGTCATTTCCATTACCATCATTTCAATCATAGAATGTTATTATCAGACAAAACACATAATTTGAGATGTGTTGGAAATGTTGTGTCTAAATGTCCATGATAAAAATTACAGAAGAATGTTGTACATATTAAAGTATTAATAAATGAAACTAGCTAATAAAAGATGAAAACGTGTTTTAAGACCGTTTTAATTAAAGTAGCCCAAGGCTGAAGAGCATGCACTCTGCCCTCACAGTGATAAAGTTCCCCCACACCTGCACACCACTCCACAAACAACAAACGGAAAAACTGACTCAAGAACTGCGTTTCTAAACACCTCGGACATAATAATGATATAATCTACTAGCGTTCTATAGAGTAATCGTACACTAGTCCGATACATTTGACAGCACAATGACTGATGGTGATTGAATGAGCATCTTATGGTAAATATTAGCGTATAAGTGAACAACTTACCTGAAACAATCGTCTGCACTTTTGAAGAAGTAATCCTCAAACCTCAATTTTGCAAAGCGCCCTTTACAGACATACAGTAAAGACAACAATACAGCACTGAACTGAACATCAGCTGACGAGTAAATAAACACACGCAACAAGCACTTCTCAGGAAACCGACGGCTCTTCAATAACCCTCCCTCTGCTGTGCCTTTCCGCTGTATTGTGCTCAATGTTTCCAACGCGTCGCACTTCTGCCCACCCACTAAATCATTAAGTCCCACCTAACTTGAAACCGTCGCGTTCGTTCATTGGCGCAGACGGGCACACTGACCACCACAATTGGTAGAATCACCCGTCAATCAAACTTCACAGCAGAGAGGTATTGATAGAACAGCGGTAGAAACGAAACTCAAAAGCTCTCTTCTCGCGTTTCAAGAAATGACGAAGTGAAAGTCATGTTATGGAGGGATGTACCTACTACTGCCTACTACCGAGGAAATTTAAAAGGCCATACCGTCTCTTCACGAAAACATTATGAGATCAACATGTGAGAATGCGTTAATAATACTTTTCTTTATTTTACACTATGCATATATAAAACATGATTATATTATATAAAACAAGGTGTTCAAAACTGAAATACTGGTAGAAACATTTCTATTTGATTTTACTTGTAACTGCTATACACCATATATAAAGTTATAAAGTTTGGTTTTATGCTGTCTATTCTGTTTATCTTGTAATCTAGTAGTGTTCTAGTAGCTCCTCCCACGGATGCCCTATAACAGTTAAATATTACCCATGCTTAACATGGGTCAAAGTCTTAGCTGACGCTGGAGAACTGATGTAAATCTTGAGTAGCTACGTTATAAGTGGCTACTTGTCATTCCTGTTATGCAGTACATTTTGAAGTCTGTAACTAGAGAATATCCGCTGGACATAAACAGTGTATGCTATTCTGTGTTAGCTGCGTCACACGGATACACTGTTTCCGTTCAGATCAAATCACAATAACGTAGGAAACAGATCCGGAGTGACGCAGCTGACACAGAATAGCATATGTTGTCTAGTTCAGTGCATCCATTGACACTAACAAACATATTAAAGGGATAGTTCACCCAAAAATGAAAATTCTGTCATTAATTACTCACCCTCATGTTGTTCTATACCTGTAAGACCTTAGTTCATGTTCAGAACACAAATTAAGATATTTTTGAGAGCAAAAATATAATAGAATAGAATAGAATAGAATAGAATCTGAGAGTTGTCTGACTCTGCATAGACAGCAACACAACTGAAATGTTCCCAAGTCCAGAAACGTAGCAAGGAGATCTGTAAAATAATCCATGTGGTATCAGTGGTTCAACCGCAATTATACGAAATTACGAGAATACTTTTTGTGCGCAAAAGAAAAAAAATTATGACTTTATTCAACAATTCGTCTCCTCCGCATCACCCTGGTGCCATTTTGGAGAATATCCGCTGGACATAAACAGTGTATGCTATTCTGTGTTAGCTGTGTCACACGGATACACTGTTTCCGTTCAGATCAAATCACAATAACGTAGGAAACAGATCCGGCGTGACGCAGGTGTTAGCTGTGTCACACGGATACACTGTTTCCGTTCAGATCAAATCACAATAACGTAGGAAACAGATCCGGAGTGACGCAGCTGACACAGAATAGCATATGTTGTCTAGTTCAGCTGATACTCTCCAAAATGGCACCAGGGTGACGCGGAGGAGACGAATTGTTGAATTAAGTCGTTATTTTTTTTTCTTTTGCGCACAAAAAGTATTCTCGTAGCTTCGTATAATTGCGGTTGAACCACTGATGTCACATGGATTATTTTACAGATCTCCTTGCTACGTTTCTGGACTTGGGAACATTTCAGTTGCGTTGCTGTCTATGCAGGGTCAGACAGCTCTCAGATTCCATCAAAAATATTATAATTTGTGTTCCGAAGATGACATTTTTGGGTGAACTATCCCTTTAAGATATTTTTGATGAATTCTGAGACCTCTCTGACCCTCCCATAGACAGCAATGTTATTACCATGATCAAGGTCCAGAAACGTAGCAAGGAGATCGGTAAAATAATCCATGTGACATCAGGGGATCAACCGTAATTTTACGAAGCTACGAGAATAGTTTTTGTATGCAAAGAAAACAAAAATAATGACTTTATTCAACAATTCGTCTCCTCCACGTCACCCTGGTGCCATTTTGGAGAGTATTCACTGAACGTAAACAGCGTATGCTATTCTGTGTCAGCTGCGTCACACGGATACATTTTCTACGTTGTTTACGCTTTGATTTGAACGAAAACAACGTATCCGTGTGACGCAGCTGACACAGATCATGGGAATTACATTGCTGTCTATGGGAGGGTCAGAGAGGTCTCAGAATTCATCAAAAATATCTTAATTTGTGTTCCGAAGATTAACGGAGGTCTTACGGGTTTAGAACGACATGAGGGTGAGTAATTAATGACAGAATTTTCATTTTTGGGCGAACTAACCCTTTAAAATAGGATATATATGAATACCAGACTTTAAGAAATATGCTCAAACTCAGGCATTATTTACATAATGACAAGAAAATTAAGCATGATGCATAAAAAGGGTGTCTTCTGAAACATTAATGATACATTATATCATATTATAATAGTATAATATATAAAAATCTAAATATTATACAGATTTCTATAACCTAACAGTATGGAATGTTGAATGGGGAAAAAAAAAAGAATGCTCATGTTTGGGCTGTTATTATTTCCCACCAAAAAATAATGTCACTTCCTGCTGATGTCATTAAATACCTTTTGGATATTAAGGTATTTATGACTGAACATATTTATTATGACTGAACATATAGAAATAGAGCGTTCTAAACATCATTTACTACAGGTGGAAAAATCCTTGAGGCCATGGAGCAATGCAGCTGTTGTTCTTGAATCTCGTCATCGGTTTCTCCTTGGTCTTTTACTGGACAGCGAGAGTTCCATCCTCCCAGCTGTTCTGGTTCATTACCAGGTCATCTTCCTCTTTCATGCTGTTCAGCAGATATTTAATCCCTGCCTTCACACCCGTTTTTAAACCAGCCCCCAACGCATAACCGGCAACCCCCGCGGTTCCCCCTGTTACAGCCATGAGGGCGTCTGTGCCCAGATCCACAGTGCTGAAGATGGCTCTCTCTTTTGCAGTGTCATAGCAGCTAACCGAAGCATAGTAAACAGCTGTTCCCAGATTATACAGCGTGGAGACTGCTGGAATCCACTCCACTACTGTATACACTCGCTCCTCTTTTTCATTTACACAGTGATGTTGAGGGATCCTGTTTCTGCGCCAACGGACAGACCCCACCTTGCAATTCTGAATCCAGCTCTCAAAGTTAGATGAAGGCACTACACGGCTTCCAGGCCTCAAGATAACACGGAAATATCCAGAATCGCCATCCTGGGTCACACCTGCACATTGGAATCCCAAGCTTCCACAAACCTGCTGTGCTTCTTCAAGACACAATGGCTTGCTCTGTTCTGCGGCCTGCCCGAGAAACCGAGTGCCTTTCACTCTCACCCATCCATTGCAATTCCCACTAGGCCCAACTTTACCCTTATCATCTTTCTCACCCACCTCAGCTAGCTGATGAATGTTAAATATTACAGCCTGTAGGTGGCGTTGAGACTCAGAGTTCAGCATAGAAGGAGGTGAAGGGGTTTGGAATACACTGTGATGGACCATGTGTGCTGAATCTCTCTCTTTACCTCTCTTGATCAGCTCCAGAATGTCCTGTAAAAATTCATGTGTATCATTTTGCCCCAACACCGCATAGAGTTGCATTACCAGTGCTTGGGCTTCAAACAAACATCCTGCTGACACCAGCACTGGCACCATTGCCAACCCTAATAGCTCCTGAGAGAAAACCTTTCCACTCCAGCCTCCATTAGAGAGCTCTGCACAGCTTACATTGCTTTGGAGATCCAGCTGACCTTGTAGAGAGGCTGAGAGGTTTGAGACCAACTGATGGGCGGCAGCAAGATCATCTTCAACAACTTGTGATTCTACTTGCTCTGTTTGTGGCATTGAAGTGACTGAAGGCCTCGGGTTGCTTTGAGGGAGTGGAGCTCTGCCACCTACTACATCAGACAGTAAGAGGTGGATGAGAAGTAACCATCTGAGTTTTGAATTCCTTTTAGTCATGTTGAACTGTGGAGACCTGCAACATCAAGCAAATCATGGTTTCAGTGTTGAATGTTTTGAAGGAATTGCCCAACCAAAAATTAACACTTTGTCATCATTTACTCATCCCCATGTATGTATTTTTTTCTTCTTTGGAGCACAAAAAAGATATTTTGAAGAATGTTGGTAACCAAACAGTTTTGGGTCCTATTGACTTGGTATTTTTGTCCATACAATGGAAATCAATGGCAACTGAAACCGTTTGGATACCAACATTCTTAAAAATACATTTTGTGTTCCACGAAAGAAAGTAAGTCATGCAGGTTTGGAACAATATGAGGGTGAGTAAATGATGTTTCATTTTCATTTTTGTGTAGACTGTTACTTTAAGTTACGTTTGTGCATGCAGTGTCCATGAAGCTGTTTATGTATATCTGCACAAATATCTGCAGCTGTAGCTACACCACAGGGGTGAGAACATGAGATATGTGTATTTGTGTGCTTGTTTTTTTCAAAGTGGAACTGGACAAAAAGAAGGAAGGAAGGAAAGAAGATAGGAAAAAAGGGGATGAGCACTTTTTTTTGTAAGACTCCTCACTCTAAAAGACTCTCCTGCTTTTCTACATACACTTCTTCTCTAAACATACCCATATATTTAACATAAAATTCAAGTTATTGAAATAAAATAAGTAAAACATCAACTTTGCTTCTCATTTATTTATTCATTTACTTGTGTTTTATTTTATAATTTTATCTAAAATAATTTTGTGTTTATATGTGGTTTTTGATAAAAATATATGTTTTTTTACTTTTGGACCCTACTGTATTGTATTTTCAAATGTATAATCCAATTCTGATTTACTGTATGAATGTTATTAAATAGTTTCAAATTAAATATGAATTAAATAAAACAAAAAAACTTCCATCATAAGGTTCTATAATATAATTTTTAAATAGTTTTTTCAAATTAAAAAATTCTCAGCTTCTCAAGCATGCAGTCTGTCAGTTTTTTTTAATCTAAATTACAGAGGAAATTATATCTCAACTCATTTGCATGTTACACTTGCTTTGAAATGATTGATCTTCAGATTAATATGAGAGTAATAAGGCTCTTACCTTCTAACAATCCCGATAGTACCTCTCTGTTAGAATCCAGCCTTCACAAAAACATATACATCTCCCTCTCTCTCGTTTTGCCCCCTTCTCTCTCACTGGCCCCATTGCCCAGTGATGAATGTGACATCACGTGGAGAGGATCAATGTGTTCTATGGGCGTTTTGTTTATTTACCCTCATGTCCCCTCTCTTCCTCTCATTCTCTCTCTGCTTTCTCCCTTGAAGACTATGGAGGGGTGCAGGGGCTTTGTGTTTGACCCAGATAAATTGCAGAATACTCGTTTCATGCCTGGGAAGACTGTGTGAGAGTGTGCATGTGTGAGAGAGAGCAGGATTGTGCACCCGTGCGTACATATTTAGTGAAGTGATTATAAAATGATGGAGGACTTCATATTTTGCTTACAGGTCATTACCCTCACACAAAGATCCACTTGGTTCAGTCAAGTTAAACATTACTCTTCTGCTCAGACCACATATTTGAATCAATATACAACATCCAACATCTGACAGGCATATTGCGTAATCTAAATCCGATTTTAATTAATTCTGGTGACTAGTGGTGAGTCTGATTATTGCAATGATTAGTCAATCATACTTTTAAAAAAGAAAGAAAGTATACATCAGTTTTCTGTTGGCTGTTTAATTCATGTAAATATCTATCTATTTTATAAATCGGCTAAACAATCTATTTATTTATTTATTCCAGGCTTAAATGAGAAAAAAAATTATGTAGCATTGGACTTTGGACCCTGCTATTTTATATTGCCAACAGAGGGCGTTGCATCATTTCACACATAATCATTTCTCCATCATTTCCTAATGAGACCTTTGATTGTAATAGCGTATAAGTAAACCATGGCCGTGGGAACTAGGGGTGCTAAAGGGTGCTGCAGCACCCCCAGCCGCAGGGCCGGGTCTGAGATTTTCCTTGTGCCCCTCGATCATCCCAAGATACTTAATTTCTGTGATAGTTTAATTTATTAAACTGACCAGAAATATAGCCTAAAGCGGTTGTATTTTTCTTGGGTGCCTCGCGGCGCGCGTCCCTACTTCTTCCCCTCACACCGACAGAATTTCATGTGAAATGTTCACGCAATATTACCGTAATTTTACATTCCGACTTGTAAAAACCATTCACGTCCTCGTCCTTATTATGAGCCATTTTCCGAAGCTTTCTCGCTTCTCAAGACGGCCACCGTCAATCACCATAAGCGCACAGCTCTTTAATTGCACTCTAGTCTCTGGTCAAACGTGCTCAAACCACTGTAGCCTAATGTAATCTATTAACTACGCACATCATAACGTTTTAGGCAAGTACCATATTATGACATAAAATATTTTAATTAGACTGAATTTGTATTTAACCTGATCACGATTAATAAAAAGACATTTTAAGTTTAATTATAACGCCGCATGTCTACGATTATTCAAACAACGAACAAATTATACAGCGAGCAAAGAACATTTACATTATCAAATAATATCACTGAATTCAGTCTAGCGTGAGTGAAAGCTCTCTAAAAAATTACAAGTTATAATCAGTGATGTTGTATGCAGTGTATGATGACTTAATCTCTTATTTACATCGCATGTACATCCGCACTTTGTTGTTTCTGATGAGAGAATTCGCCAAAGTGCACTGACCATGCCAATTGCACGCTCCCTCAAAACTTGCGACATCTGTGGCATTGTGCTGTGTGATAAAACTGCACATTTTAGAGTGGCCTTTTATTGTGGCCAGCCTAAGGCACACCTGTGCAATAATCATGCTGTCTAATCAGCATCTTGATATGTCACACCTGTGAGGTGGATGGATTATCTCGGCAAAGGAGAAGTGCTCACTAACACAGATTTAGACAGATTTGTGAACAATATTTGAGAGAAATAGGCCTTTTGTGTACATAGAAAAAGTCTTAGATCTTTGAGTTCAGCTCATGAAAAATGGGGGCAAAAACAAAAGTGTTGCGTTTATAATTTTGTTCAGTGTATATTGGTTCGCATATAACTCTGTCCTCATGTGTATGTTAATCTATAAGAGTTTGGGCTGTTTAATAGGATTTTGTCAAAAATCCCCCACCATGGCTCCGCCCTGCAACATCAAGCCCTGCCCCCCAGCACCCCCACAGATAAAATATGTTCCCACGGCTATGAAGTAAAGGAAAACTGTCTTTGTTTATTTGCAACAACTGTTTTTTTTTACTCAGAAATCAGTGCAATAATCAGACTGACCACGAGTCACCAGATTTAAATCTGATTTAGATTATGCAAATTATGCACAGCATGTGTAGCAAAAGGCATTGCCAGATAAACATTTCCTATAGATGACGTTGCAGACTGATGTCAGCAAAAGGAAACTAACAAATCATTTGGGTGGGGAGTTGGAATGGGCCAAAAATATCTTTGTGCCAAAGAACTAGCATTTGGGCAAAGAACTGCCTTGATTCTTCATGGCGTAGATTTCACAGTGTGCTGGAAACATTCTTCAGGGACTTTGGTCTATCATGACCAGATAGTATGATGCAGCTGTTGCTGATTTGTTGGCTGCACATCCATGATGCCAATCTCCCATTCCACCATATTCCAAAAATGTTCTACTGGATTGAGATCTGGTGACTGGAGGCCACTTGAGTGTAGTGAGCTCATTGTCTTGTTCAAGAAATCAGTTTGAGATGATTTGAGCAGTGAGACATGGCACATCATCCTCCTTGAAGTATCCATCACAAGATGGGTACACTGTGGTCATAAAAGGATATGGACATGGTCAGCAACAATACTCAGATAGTCTGTGGAATGTAAACGATGCTCAGTAGGTACTGAGTGGCTCAAAGTGCAGTGTTGGGGGTAACGCATTACAAGTAACGCGAGTTACATAATCAGATTACTTTTTTCAAGTAACTAGTAAAGTAATGCATTACTTTTTAATTTACAAGAAAATATCTGAGTTACTTTTTCAAATAAGTAACACCAGTTACTTTTTTTCCCATTTATTGATTGAACGCTCTCCTGTCCCCTTGTTGAGAGAAATCGGGAGTAAGATGTTACTTTAGTTCTAGAATAAATGTGAACATGCATTAATTCATCTCACTCACTCAAAAATCAGATTTAGTTTTCCTCAAAATGTATAAAAACAGTTAAAAGCAACTCAGAATATGACTCAAAGCTGCAATAATTAAATATGTTAAATAATACAAATATCCTTTATGTATTTAATCCCATT